GTTTGCCCGGCGCTGGAGGCGAGCTGCTGGAGCTGGAGGTGCTGCGGGTACTGGATGTTCTGCTGCTGCTGAGGGTGCAGGTGCCGCGGGTCCCGGAGGTGCTCGTACTAGGAGTACTGGAGCTGCTGGGCCTGCGGGTACCTTTGGAGTTGGAGCTGCTGCGGGTGTTGGCGCGGAGGCTACTGCTGTCGGTCCTGGAGGCGGTCCTGCTGGGGGTGCTACTAGTGCTGCTGGAGGTACTGGAGCTGGAGGTGCTGCTGGTATTTGTGCTGCCGCTGGGGGTACTGAGCCTGGGGGTGCTGAGCCTGGGGGTGTTGAGCCTGGGAGTGCTAAGCCTGGGGGTGCTGACTCTGGGGGTGCTGAGCCTGGCGGTTCTCCGGGTGCCTCGTCTCGCCGGGAGCCACTCTCTCCACAGGAGCTGCGTGAGTGGTTTGCCCCACGCTGGAGGCGAGCTACTGGAGCTGGAGGTGCTGCGGGTACTGGAGGTTCTGCTGCTGCTGAGGGTGCTGGTGCCGCGGGTCCCGGAGGTGCTCGTACTGGGAGTACTGGAGCTACTGGGCCTGCGGGTACTTCTAGAGTTGGAGCTGCTGCTGGTGTTGGCGCGGAGGCTACTGCTGTCGGTCTTGGAGGCGGTCCTGCTGGGGGTGCTACTGGTGCTGCTGGAGGTACTGGAGCTGGAGGTGCTGCTGGTGCTGGTGCTGCCGCTGGGGGTATTGGTGCTGTCCCTGCTGTGTCTGGAGTCGCCGCGCGGCCTTGGCCGTACTTCGTTCCGCTCTTTCAGCAGGTTCTTGGTCTCCCGCCTTCTATAGTCCTCCTCCTCCCTTCGAGTGTCCACAGCCTGTCCCGTCACAGTTACAGTTACAGCCGGCCTCCCCACTGCCTTCTCCGTCTCCCTACAGTGGTCCTACTGGAGGTCTTGCTGAGCGTTGTGAGCCTGCGTCTCGCCCTGCGTCGCCTGTCCGTGCTGCTCGCACCAGTGGTCGCAGTTCGCGTCAGCGTCCTCCTCCTGTTCTGGCACGCACCGGATGTCTCTGCGTCCGTCCACTGCTCCTTTGCGTGCCCCTTTACCTTCTCCTCCTGAGTCTTCTCTTCCTGCTCTTGCCGACCCGGAGTTGGACTCTCTTCGTGCCGCCAGTCCTACTGTCACGCGTCTCCTTGCTACTGTTGTCACTGACCCTTCCTTTGAGTCCACTGCTGCGTCTGCCCTAGTTGCTGAGCTCGTCGACTTTGCTGCTCGCTGTCGCCTAGACTACGCCGCCAGTCTTGTTGCTGAGTCTGAGTCTGTCTGTCCTCCGTCCGTCGGGGGTGAGTGTGCCCTTGGCACGGATGTCCTTGAGGACAGGCAGGAGGAGTTCCAGTGTCTGGCTGCAACTTCACCTCATCTCGTGTCCGTGCTGCTTATCCCTGAGGGAGACCCAGATGCACTTGACATCCCGACTCCGCGCTCTTACGCGGAGGCGATAGAGGGTCCCTACTCCTCTCAGTGGTTGGCAGCTATGGACGCAGAGATGGCTTCCTGGAAGTCCACAGGCACCTATGTTGACGAGGTTCCCCCGCCTGGGGCGAACATCGTCACTGGCATGTGGATTTTTAGGGTGAAGCGGCCGCCGGGTTCTCCGCCTGTCTTCAAGGCGCGTTACGTGGTTCTTGGCTTCAGTCAGCGGCAGGGAGTTGACTACTTTCAGACCTTCTCTCCCACCCCGAAGATGACCACTCTTCGGGTACTGCTGCACATAGCTGCTCACCGTGACTACGAGCTTCACTCTCTTGACTTCAGCACAGCTTTCCTGCAAGGCAGCCTGCACGAGGAGATCTGGCTGCGCCGCCCACCTGGCTTCACTGGGTCTTTTCGCCCTGGCACCCAGTGGAGCCTCCGGCGGCCAGTCTACGGTCTCCGCCAGGCACCGCGTGAGTGGCACGACACACTGAGGACTACATTTGCGGCTCTTGGGTTTGCTCCCTCTACTGCCGACCCGTCGCTGTTTCTGCGCACCGACACTTCTTTGCCGCCGTTCTACATCCTCGTGTACGTCGACAACTTGGTCTTTGCCACAGCTGACACTGCTGGACTCGCCCACGTGAAGTCCGAGCTGCAGAAGAGACACACGTGCACAGACCTGGGTGAACTGCGCAGCTACCTTGGCTTGCAGATCACCCGGGACAGAGCACGCCGCACCATTACCCTGACTCAGTCACACATGGTGCAGCAGGTCCTTCAGCGCTTCGGCTTCACGTACTCCTCGCCTCAGGCCACTCCTCTGCCTACTCGCCACTCGCTCTCAGCTCTGCCTTCGGATGAGTCCGTAGAGTCGAGTGGCCCGTACCCAAAGCTTGTTGGCTGCCTCATGTACCTGATGACCTGCACTCGACCTGGCCTTGCATACCCTCTTAGCATTCTCGCACGCTATGTTGCTCCTGGGAGACACAGACCGGAGCACATGGCTGCAGCGAAGAGGGTGTTGCGCCACTTGTGCAATACGTCAGGCATGGGGCTTGTGCTTGGAGGGGAGAGTCCAGTGGTCCTCACTGGGCACGCAGACGCTTCTTGGGCTGACGACCAGGCTACGCAGCGGTCGTCACAGGGTTACACCTTCAGCCTTGGTTCCGGCTCTGTTTCGTGGCGGGCTACCCGCTCGTCTTCTGTTCTCGGCTCCAGTTGTGAGGCTGAGATCTACGCCGGGGCCATGGCTGCACAGGAGCTTCGCTGGCTCACCTACCTGCTGACTGACCTCGGAGAGCCGCCTCGTTCTCCTCCAGTGCTGTACGTAGACAACAAGGCCATGCTGGCCTTGTGTCGAGAGCAGAGACTGGAGCACAGAACGAAGCACATTGCTCTCCGCTACTTCCTTGCTCGTGAGCTGCAGCAAGGTGGTCAGCTGCGTCTTGCGTACGTGGCCTCTGAGGCCAACACTGCTGATATTTTCACCAAGGCGCTTGCGCCTTGTGATCATCAGCGCTTCTGTACTCAGTTGGGTCTTGTGCCTGCCTTGCCTCACTTGCTCACCTCTTGACCTTGCTTGTACTGTTATATATATATATATATATATATATACACGTGCTCTTGCTTGTCTAGCCTTTTATATGTATATGTACTCCTGCATGTGAACTGGCCTTGTGGCCTTGACCTTGTGCTCGGAATGTGTGGTGACTTTGTGATCCACCCTGAGCTTGCTTTGCTTTACTTTGCTTGACTGGTCTTGTGACCCCTTGTACTCCCCCACTTTGCCTATGGGGGTGTGTCAGAACATTATAGCTTATGCTTTTGTGTAGGCTGTAGTGGGGTAGCCTATATGGGGTACAACCCAATTAGGGTTAGTACTTGTACCCAACTCTTTCATAGTGCATTCATTCTCGTTCATTTCTACATTTGTAGCATGTCATTTTGAGTTGTGAACAGCTATGAAAGCAGCTGTGCAGAAATCCATTTGCGCACTCTATTTTTCATTTTAGGCGCATTCAAGCCTATTATGACTATAACAAGAGTCTAGAACGAGCATCGCACTCTGCGCCCGCACTCCAAATTTTGGCTTGATGAATAGAGGATGACGTTCTTGACTTCCTCTGCTAGCCGTTCTTCTGGCAGCCAACGACAACGTCTATGCACAAGCAACCCTATTTTCTTTTTTCTTTTTTCAAAAACATCACACAAATCAGTATTGAAAAGCTTACCGTTCGAGAAGTCCCCCATTGGCACTGTCTTGCGCTTAAAGAACACCCACAGCTTCAGCTTTTCCCCCGTTACTGTGCATGCAAACATCACGATAACTCGTTATTTATAGTACCCATCGCTCCAGATGGGCATGGACTTCACGCCCGTCCGTTCCACGGTGGTTGGTGCCGGCATCTCTAGCCATAGAGGCGTCTTGTTGGCATTTATTATATATCGATTGTCGATGTCGGATTCCAGCCTCGCTTCACGTATGAACGTCCATAACTACTTGCACTTGCTCGCCACATCTACGCGAGGGGAGGAAAAGACACGAAAGAACACGGATTAGAAACAGATACACATACAGTGTACAACACAAACAAGACAATAAGACCACCACGCAAATTCAAAAGAAGGCTTAAAAAAAGAGGGCACTTACGTTGCAGGGTCTTCTGCGCCACCTTGGTTTTCATGCGCATGCTCAGGTTACACCACTTGCAGAACCGCTGACTCCCCTTCCACTTCACATCCAGGAACAACAGTTCCATCACCTCGCGAGACTACTCCTGGAGTCACCCGACTGAAACTGCAACACCCCGGCACCGCCACTCAAGAAGCTGCACGTAGACTTTCATCTCCATCGAACAGTGCCAGGAAGATCTCTTGCGCCCGTGTAGACACTTCCGTGCGTTGTGGGCGTCCTTCAGCTGGTCCGCCTGTTTCTTCCATTCAGTCAGGCACTTGCGTGGATGCCAGACTCCCGCGCCACCTCTCTTACCGATGCCGCAAGCTCTAGGCGCACGAGCCACTTAAGCTTCTCCTGGGTGGTGTACTAGTGCTGCTTAGGGCGTGTCTTCCTCCTTGAGAGTACAATCATTTCTAGGTACTGTTACAATGGCAATACCCTACCAACCAGACAAGCACTTCTTGATACCTTTCTAGGATACCTTTTCTTTACGTGTCCAAGTTCGTTAGCCGCACGTGCCAGTTGAAATCACTGAACAGGAATGGGTGAACTAGCAGTGAAATGAGTACAAGTACCTAACCCTAGAATTGTGTACCCCATATAGGCTAACCCACTGTAGCCTAAACTAACACAACATATATAATGTTTGACACACCCCCATAGGCCAAGTGGGGGAGAACTAGGGGTCACAAGACCAGTCAAGGCAAAGCAAGGCAAAACAAGCTCAGGGTGGATCTCAAGGATACCACACAAATTCCGAGCACAAGCAAGTGGTCACAAGACCAGTTCACATGCAGGTTTATAATAGAGCAAAAGGTACAAAGATCACAACCTAACAAGAGTAAACATGCAGGTATATATATAGAGATCAGAGTACAAACAGACTCAAGAAGTAAGCAAGTGAGGTCCAGTAGGCACAAGGCCTAGAAGAGTGCAAAAGCGCTGATGGTCACAAGGCTGAAGCGCCTTGGTGAACACATCAGCAGTGTTGGGCTCAGAGGCCACGTAACGCAGGCGAAGCTGACCACGCTGCTGCAGCTCTCGAGCAAGGAAGTAACGCAGAGCAATGTGCTTCGTTCTGTGCTCCAGTCTATGCTCCTCACACAAGGCAATGGCTGCCTTGTTGTCTACGTACAGCACTGGAGGAGAACGAGGTGGCTCTCCAAGGTCGGTCAGCAGGTAGGTGAGCCAGCGAAGCTCCTGGGCAGCCATGGCCGTGGCGTAGATCTCAGCCTCACAACTGGAGCTGAGAACAGAAGAAGAGCGAGTAGAACACCAAGAAACAGAACCAGAGCCAAGACTGAAGGAGTAACCCTGAGACGACCGCTGAGAAGCCTGGTCGTCTGCCCAAGAAGCGTCTGAGTGCCCAGTGAGAACAACTGGGACTCGCCCTCCAAGCACTAGTCCCATGCCCGACGTACTGCACAAGTAGCGCAACACCCTCTTAGTTGCATCCATGTGCTCCTTCCGGTGATGGCCGGGAGCGACATAGCGTGCAAGAATGCTGAGAGGGTATGCAAGGTCTGGTCGAGTGCAGGTCATCAGGTACATGAGGCAACCCACAAGCTCTGGATACGGGCCACTCGGCTCTACGGACTCATCTGAAGGCAGAGCTGAGAGCGAGTGACCAGTAGGCAGAGGAGTGGGCTGAGGCGAGGAGTACGTGAAGCGGAAGCGCTGACGGACCTGCTGCACCATGTGTGACTGATTCAAGGTGATGGTGCGGCGTGCTCTGTCCCGGGTGATCCGCAAGCCAAGATAGCTTGTCAGTTCACCCAGGTCTGTGCACGTGTGTCTCTTCTGCAGCTCCGACTTCACGTGGGCGAGTGCCACAGTGTCAGCAGTAGCAAAGACCAAGTCATCGATGTACACAAGGACGTAGAACGGCGGCAGTGAGGTGTCGGTGCGTAGAAACAGCGACGGGTCAGCAGTAGAAGGCGCGAACCCAAGAGCCGCAAGCGTAGTCCTCAGTGTGTCGTGCCACTCACGAGGCGCCTGGCGGAGACCGTAGACTGGCCGTCCGAGGCTCCACTGGGTACCAGAAGGGAACAACCCAGTGAAGCCAGGTGGACAGCGCACCCAGATCTCGTGCAGGCTGCCCTGCAGGAAAGCAGTACTGAAGTCAAGCGAGTGGAGCTCGTAGTCACGCTGAGCGGCGACGTGCAGCAGAACCCGAAGAGTGGTCATCTTCGGGGTCAGGGAGAAGGTCTGGAAGAAGTCAACTCCCTCTCGCTGACTGAAGCCTCGTGCAACGTAACGCGCCTTAAAGACAGGCGGAGAGCCCGGCGGCCGCTTCACCCTGAAAATCCACATGTCACTGACGATGTTCGCCCCAGGTGGGGGAACCTCGTCGACGTAGGTGCCTGTGGACTTCCAGGAAGCCATCTTTGTGTCCATGGCTGACTGCCACTGAGAGGAGTAGGGACCGGCCATCGCCTCTGCTAAGAGCGTGGGGTCGGGATGTCTGGTGCATCCGGGTCTCCCTCAGGGGCAACAAGCATGGACACGAGATGGGGCAAAGCGGCAGCAAAGCACTCAAACTCCTCGTGCCTGTCCTCAAGGACGTCAGTGCCAAGAGCACACTCACCCCCGACGGACGGAGGACAGACAGACTCAGACTCAGCAACTAGGCTAGCAGCATAGTCTAGACGACAGCGAGCAGCAAAGTCGACAAGCTCAGCAACTAAGGCAGACGTAGCAGCAGACTCAAAGGAAGGGTCAGTGACAACAGTAGCCAGGAGACGCGTGACAGTAGGACTGGTAGCACGAAGAGAGTCTGACCCAGGGTCAGCAAGAGCAGGAAGAGAGGAAGCAGGAGGAGACGGCAGTGGGAAACGCTGTGGAGCAGTGGACGGACGAAGCGCTATCCGGTGAGTGCCTGGGACAGTAGGAAGACGCTGACGCTGGACACGAGTACTAGAGAGAGCAGTGCGGACAGGCGACTCAGGACGAGACTCAGGCGACATAGGACGAGACGTAGGCTCACGCCGCTCAGTAAGACATCCAGTCGGACCAGTGTAAGGAGCAGGACCAGGGAGAGAGGAGGCAGACGGTAACGCCGACTGCAGCTGGACAGGCGGAGGACACGCTAAGGAGGGAGGAGGAAAAGGAGGAGGAAGCTGACCAAGAACCTGCTGAAGGAGTGGAACAAAGTACGGCCGAGACCGAGCAGCGACACCAGAGCCAGCAGGGACACCCGCACCAGGGTCCGCAGCACCAGCAGCAGCTCCAGCGCCCACGTCCTCAGCACCAGCGGCAGCTCCAACTCCCGGGTCCTCAGCACCAGTAGCAGCTCCAACACCCGGGTCCGCAGCACCAGCGGCAGCTCCAAGGCCTGGGTCCTCAGCACCAGCAGCAGCTCCAACGCCCGGGTCCTCAGCACCAGCAGCGGCTCCAACGCCTGGGTCCTCAGCACCAGCAGCAGCTCCAACGCCCGGGTCCTCAGCACTAGCAGCGGCTCCAACGCCCGGGTCCTCAGCACCAGCAGCAGCTCCAACGCCCAGGTCCTCAACACCAGCAGTAGCTCCAACGCTCGGGTCCTCAGCACCAGCAGCAGCTCCAACAGTAGCGGGGTCCGTAACATGAGGCACGCCACTCCGAAGAGTGCAGCGCCGCTCGTACCACTCACGGATCCGCTCGCGGGAGGGGAGCTCCCGAACGGGAGAAGAAGCACTAGCACCAGTCCCAGTAGTACGTCCGGCTCGAGCGGTACCTCTCCGGAGGCTGCAGTACTCTAAGTACCACGCACGCAGCTGCTCCGAGGAGAGGGCTACTCCAGGTGCAGGACTCCCAGGCCTAGTACCTCCAGACTCAGAACCCCCAGACTCCAGACTCCGCAGCTCAGCACCACGAGGCTCCACACCCCCAAGCTCAGCACCCTCAAGCTCCACACCCCCAGGCTCCACACCCCCAGGCTCCACACCCCCAGGCTCCACACCCCCAGGCTCCACACCCCCAGGCTCCACACCCCCAGGCTCAGCACCCCCAGGCTCAGCACCCCCAGCAGGACGAGAGTCGACGTCTACCTCAACAGGCTCAACCGGGTCTACCTGAGACACACCTGAGGGAGCGGCACCCTGAGGGGGGAGGGGGTCTGCAACAGCAGCACCTGGCGCGAGGAAGAGAGGCGGGGGGGGGAGCGGGGCAGTGCGGTAGGGGAAGAGGCGGTAGTAGGAGACGGACTCGTCAAAAGTGACGTCCTGGGAGGGCAAGACTCGGCGCGAGGTGACGTGGTAAAACTGCCAACCAGACGCGTCCGGGACAAAGCCGAGGAAGACACAGGGAACAGCACGGGAGGAGAGCTTGTCCGCAGACGAATCGCGGACAAAAGCTCGAGATCCCCAGACCCAAAAACGCGACGCATCGCCAACCTCCCCCGTCCACAGCAGCGTGGGCGAGGTCTCCGGCAAGGAGACACGGGGCCAGAGGTTGAGCTGATGCGTAGCGTACCGGACCGCAAACGGCCACAGAAAGTGGGGGGCAGCCGCATGGATCAAGGAGGTACGGGCGACCTCCATGACCAGGCCAATGCGGCGCTCCGCAACCCCATTCTGCTGTGGAGAAGCCGGAAGCGTGAACGACTGCTCAATGCCGTGCTCAGCACAGTAGGCTGCCAAGAGGTCGGAGGAGAACTCACCACCTCTGTCAGAGTGCAAGCGCAGGACAGGAAAGTCCGAGTGAAAACGCTCGCTGAGCTGGAGACGGGCTCTGCGGATCCAAGGGATCAAGACATCAGGGACCTCACCCTTGGTGCGCAAGGGGAAGACCGAGGTGTAGCGCGAGTAGTCGTCAACAACTATCAGGAAGTACCTCTCCTGACCCTGACCACGGACGCGGGCTGGGCCCCACACGTCCATGTGGAGTGTCTGCAAGGGAGCAGTCGTCGGGGGGAACGAGGAGGAGTGAGGAGCGGCGCGCTGCCGTCCCTCGACGCAGGGGAGACAGGTAGGAGCAGGCGAGGGTGGGAGGGCAGGAAGGACCCTGGGCAGGCCAGAGACAAGGTACCGGGAGTGCATGGCACGAAGCCGCTGCAGAGACGGGTGGCCAAGGCGGTGGTGCCAGAGGACAGTCTCGTGTGCCAAAGAGCGACACGAGCAGGGGGCGGATAGCTGACCTGACGCGGACGCGGACACAGTCGCAGCAACCTGAGGGGACTCAGTAGTCAGTGTGTACAGGTCCGACCCCGGCTGCCGAGTGAAGGTAACCAAGTGACGGCCCGTACGAGCACACGTGCAGTGTGTCACGCGCTCGTAGGCAGGGGTGAACTGGTGAACACCCCCGTCCTGGAGTGCACATCCTGCCACCAAGTTCGTAGAGAACGAGGGGAGGTGGAGACCTGACAGTGTGCCCGACGGGACCGCAGGGCAGGGAAGGACAGTGGAAGAGGTCGCAATGACCGGACCCCCAGAGGGGTCAGCAAGGGAGACAGCAACTGGCCGAGCAAGCGGCTCAAGGGCAGTGCGGTCACGAAAGAAGCAGAAAGAAGCACCTGAGTCCAGTGTGAAGGTGTGCAGTGCGGCAGTCGACGCAGTACCAAGGGGGGGAGACACACGAGCACCGAGAGCAGCAGCCTCACCAGCACCTGGGGTAGCCGACATGCGAGTACCTGGAGCGGCAGACGCACTGGCCCTAATGCCCGGGTCGGGCGGCACACACAAGTACTCAGCACCCTCTCCACTAGTAGACATCACATACATGGCAGATAGAATAGCATCAAAGTCTAGAGCATAGATATCAATCCCCTTCTTCAGGAGATCAAGCCAGCGGGGCAGCTCAGTGGCCTGAGGGAACTGAACACGCCAAGCGTCGTCGAGACGAGAGAAGCAGCGCTGTGTGGCGTGCGGTCGTCCACACTGCTGACCACTGCGGTCACTAGTGCGAATGACGTACGTGCAGCTAAGACCACCCCCACCCCCGTGCTGAGAGTACCACTCACGGACCTCCTGGGGCGAGGGAGTGTGCTGCTGGCCCTGGCCACCGCCAGTGCCTCCACGGCCACCACCACCGGTGCCACCTCCTCGACCACCCCAACCCCTGCCGCCGCCTCGTCCACCGCCACCCCAACCGCCGCCTCCACTCCTGCCACCTCCCCCGCCGCTGCCGCCACCACCCCCACCGCTACCACTCGCCCCTCCAGCCGAGCCACCACCCCCACTGCCTCCACCGCCCCCACCGCCGCCTCCCCCGCCGTCACCGCCACCACCCTTGCCCCCTTTGCCCTTGCCGCTGCGGCGTCCGCTCGAGGCAGACGCAGTGCCGACCTTCTCTGTACCAAGAAGGTCGACAGCAGCAGCAGAGGCGACAGAGGGAAGAAGGGGGGAAGGAGAACACCCCTCAAAGAACGAGGTACGGGGGTCGCCACGAGAGGCACCTACAACGACTATGCTAGTCTCAGCTGCAAGTAGCTCCTTCTCGAGGAGGGCAATGGTGAGCTCAGTGGGGCAACGAGCTAGGAAGTGGTCCCTGACAGCACGCAGTGTGTCAGGGAGGCGGGTGACTAGGTGGTAGAGAGTGAGCCAGAGTGGAGGGGGGTGCGTGGCAAGGAACTCAGCAGGCATGGCGGCACGGAAGCGGGCCTCACTAGTACGGAGGTGCGTGATGAGGTCAGCGACTGTGTGAAAGGAGGCCAGGTCGGGAAACAGGTAGGGGAGGGAGAGACGGCCTAGTGCGGCAGAGGCAGGTGAGGAGTAGCGAGCAACTACAGCTGTGTACAGTGCCTGTGCAGTCTTGTGCTGACCAAAGTGCTCGCGTTCGTCTATCGGCAGGGAGTTGCGAATGGCGAAGCGAGCGTGGGCATCACGAGTCTGCCACTGTGAGCGAGCAGTGCTGTCAGCAGTAGCAGCAGGGGTAGTGACATGGCCTAGGGCGTGATCGTACAGTGAGATGTCATCCTTGGCTGTGAGCTGTAGGTAGAGGTGCAGGTCATCGAGCCAGGTGTCAAACTTCACAGGGCGGCCCTCAGCATCGAACACGAGAACCTGTGGGCTAGCCATAGGAACAGTAGAAATAGTAGCAGTAGCAGTAGGAGAGGCACGTAGGACGAACCAGGTAGGGCAGGGCGGTGCGGCTCGGTTCAGGTCGGGTCGCGGCTCGGCTGGGTGGCGCGGCTCGGTTCAGGGCGCGCGGCTCGGCTCGGGGCGCGCGGCTCGGCTCGGGGCGCGCGGCTCGGGTCACGGCGGGGACGGGCCGCCCGCTCTCCCTCGTGTGCTGCGGCGGGAACGGGCCGCCCGGGGCCTCTAGGTGGTGGGCACGGGTCGGCGAGGTCGGCATGGGGCCGGTTGGGGCCCTAGAGGGGCGAGCGCGGGGCCGATCGGGGCCTGAGCGGGGCTAGCGCGGGGCCAAACGGGGCCTTGACGGGGCTAGCAAGGGGCGGACGGGGCTAGCAAGGGGCCGACGGGGCCTGAACGGGGCTAGCGCGGGGCCGACGGGGCCTGAAACGGGGCCGACGGGGCCGGAAGCGGGGCTAGCGCGGGCCCGATCGGGGCCTGAATGGGGCTAGCGTGGGGCCGACGGGGCCTGAGAGGGGCTAGCGCGGGGCCGACGGGGCCTGAAACGGGGCTAGCGCGGGCCGACGGGGCCTGAGAGGGGCTAGCGTGGGGCCGACGAGGCCTAAAACGGGGCTAGCGCGGGCCGACGGGGCCTGAGAGGGGCTAGCGCGGGGCCGACGGGGCCTGAAATGGGGCCGACGGGGCCTGAAACGGGGCTAGCGCGGGCCGACGGGGCCTAAGAGGGGCTAGCGCGGGGCCGACGGGGCCTGAAACGGGGCCGACGGGGCCTGAACGGGGCTAGCGCGGGGCCTGAACGGGGCCTTAAAGGGGCCGACGGGGCCTGAACGGGGCCGCTAGGGAGAGCGGGCGTGGGGCCGACGGGGCTTGAACGGGGCTAGCGCGGGGCCGTCAAGAGGGGCCTCTAGGGGCGTGACACGCCGAGGCGCCCTAGGGCACAGGTAGGTAGGTAGGTAGGTAGTTACGTAGTGGTGGGCCCTTAGAAAATTTCGGTCCTAGGAAGGACCTGCTCTATACCATGTTGAAATCACTGAACAGGAATGGGTGAACTAGCAGTGAAATGAGTACAAGTACCTAACCCTAGAATTGTGTACCCCCTATAGGCTAACCCACTGTAGCCTAAACTAACACAACATATATAATGTTTGACAGTGCCGTGCACACTAGTACAGAACACGTACAAGTGCATTTGGAGGTTTGCAGTATGTGTTAGCCGAATTTCGACATTTGCGATATCAACCCGCGAATTTCCTTGTAGCGCAGGCGTGGGTAATTTTTGCCAGATTAAACACTAATTCTGTAGGGCGGGTGGTTATCGCTCACGACCATGTGGTCAAGCTGGTACTCAGTTCGATTCACAAAGGCGGCAGAAAGTGGATTCGTGTCAGGCAAACACAAATCATTTTCTGTACATGCAGGCAGCAGTTTGTGAAGAATCATAATTATGTATTAGTTCGGTAGATGGCCAAACTGTCAGAATCCCAACCACTAGACCATTGGGATAAAAGGGCTTGTTTCAGTAGCGGGTCAGTGCGCCCATAACCCCCCAGGCAACCGCGCCTGTAACCCCCCCTAGGATCGATCGGGATCTCACAGTGTAGCTCTACTGACACCCCCCCACACTGGGAGGCCCAGGACTGAGCACAGTGGCAACGGCCAACATGTGCATACACCGGGATTCGAACCCGAGACCGCTCTGATACCATGTCAGAATCCCAACCACTAGACCATTGGGATAAAAGGGCTTGTTTCAGTAGCGGGTCAGTGCGCCCATAACCCCTCAGGCAACCGCGCCTGTAACCCCCCCTAGGATCGATCGGGATCTCACAGTGTAGCTCTACTGACACAAACTACATCTTGCAAGACACGCCCTTAAGTTGTGACGGCTAATGCCTGGGGTAGGGGAGGGCGGGCATCCAGGTTCTCAACAGAAGGGTGGGGACGATTTTGTTTATTGGCGGATATGTAGGAATTTGCATCTTCTCACATGGGGCATCGCGCCACCAAGACTCTACGCCGTCGACGTCCACAGCGCTGGCACCGCCCTCTAGGAACACGTCCGCCTCTGTGCCAGCTTGGTGCCTGTTTCACCGTCGCCACGGGGCTGGTCGTTGGCGGCAACATCGTCCCACGTGCAGTCTTGGGGCTGTCCCCATCGTGGTGCCGGCGGTGAAGCTACGACGTACACATTGGGGGGCTTGTTGGACTCTTGTTCAGACAGCTACTCGTCGAAAGTTGCTGGCAGTAGGACCTGGAGCACAGCAAATTGTCCTTATACGCATAAGAGTTAATAGGCCGTGCCGGAGGAGCAGGATGAGCGGGAGGAACAGGAGGAGAGCAGGCGGTGCACGCGGCGCTAGAGGCGCTGGTGGCTCGGGAGGCTGTGGAGGCTCACGGGTATACCAGCCGTTGTCGTCTAATCGCCACGCGCGCTTCAGTTTCTTCTTAAAGAGGAAGTGGGTCCCGGTGAATCCCGCCATGGTTTCGCCAACCTGTTGGGCTAGAAAATAAAACCGAATGGAAAAAAAAAAAATTTTTGAAAGTGGGGTGAAGAGACGGAAAATGGAGGGGACTCCTTCGGTGTGGCTGCTTGAAACCCTCGTCAATGACATGCGGAAGCCCCTGCCTCAAGCCGTAGAGGACTCTGCATGGCAGCATAATAGCTGCGCTGACAGGGAATCGCCTGGACCCCTTCAAGAGGGTTCAGATGAAATGCACATGCCACACAGTGCATGCCGATGTGATTGGGCCGCACGGCAAGTTTTGCGTCATCGCTGGTAGGTGCGATGCTTCTAGAAAAAAGAGCGGGGTGGGAAACCGAAACGCGTTGCCGTTTTCGCCTGGAATTCATGCACGATCCGACGTAATGCATGGTCGGCTGTATTAGCCTGCCTTACTACGTGCTTCAATTTAGTATGGTTTCAAGCCAATTTCATTTTTTACATATTACAAGTGCTTGCGCTTATACAAGTGACTCAATAATAAGCGCACCTCCCTAAAAAACAATGTTCTATTATAAGCGCACCTGCGCTTATATCCAGGGTGAAGCTAGCCCTATGTACTTGCTTTTAACTACTGTTTCACTCATATCCAGTGCCCTAGATATCAGACTTTTTACGCTGATTCAGCGTCCATTCAGACTTTTTTTTGGTACCTGGTCTGAACTGTAAGTTTTTTTTTATGTACCTTCTCTGATTTTTCAGAGTTTTTTTTATTGTAACCGCTGAAATTTCAGCCAGTTTTTAGGGGTGTAGGCTGAGCCTCAGACTTGTGTCGGGAGTGCACTCTGTGAAAGTTTGAAGAGAGAAGAGAACTGCACTAGCAAGAATGGGGATACAAATAGGAAACCCTAGAAGGGTTGTACTCGCTGTAGAGCACCCCACTACAGGCTAGAGCATAAGATAACATTCTGACACACCCCCATAGCCAAAGTGGGGTGTAATCAGCAGAGCAAGCAAAGCCGTACAAGCTCAGGGTGGATCACAATGTCACCACACATTCTGAGCACAAGTTCAAGAAGCAATAGTTTAAAGTTAACAATTATGAGCAAAGCTAGTGGTAGTCACAACGGGCAAGTGAGGAGGAGGAGAGAGAGTGAGAGGAGAGGAGATAGGAGGCGACGGATGAAGCTGCAGACACACGGGCAACAGGAGGCACACTGGCACAGCGGCTACCGGAACAACGCTCCGGAATACTGGAGTAACTGGCCCCGCGGCTAAAGTAGCGGCAGACGAGCAACGGACCCACGGGCGGCTGGCACAGCTGGCTACGACTGGGCTACCGGACGAAGTCCCTGGAATACAGGTGCTGCTGGCGACACGACGGCAACCTCCATTCAGCTTCCCCAAACTGTCCCACTCCCCCTGGCACACACCCACTGCTACACCGCTAGCTCCACTCCCACGCACCCCCCTTAAACCCTAAACCCCAGTCTCCCACTCATCCACCCCCCTCAGCGTCAGCTGCAGCAGTGGGAGACGAAGGAGGAGGAGGAGCAAAGGGAGGAATGCACAGCTGCCACCCCCATACTCGCCACCCCCTACTCGCCACCCCCCAGGTGCGGCCCCCGAAGGAGCCGCGACGGGAGACGGGAAAAGGAGGGGGGGGGGGGGGGGGCGGTGCACATGCCGTAGGTAGGGCGACGGGGCCGGGGTCGCAGGTAGGGCGACGGGGCCGGGGTCGCAGGTAGGGCAACGGGGCCGGGGCCGGGGCGCTGGTAGGGCGACGGGGCTAGGGCCGGGGCCGCAGGTATGGCGACGGGACCGGGGTCGCAGGTGGCGCGACGGGGCCGGGGTCGTAGGCAGGGCGACGGGGCCGGGGCCGTGGCCGCAGGTAGGGTCGCCCGAGCCGCGCGCAGGCAGCCCGAGCCGCGCGCGGGCCTGGCGCCGCCCGTACGGGTCGCGCGTAGGCCTGGGGCGGCCCGTACGGGCGGCGGACGGGTCTGGCGCGGCCCGTACGTGCCGCGCGCAGGCTGTACGGGCCGCGCGCAGGCCACGACGGGCGACGGGGGGCGACGCGGAGGTCCCCGTCGCCCGTCGCAGCGCCTCCCGGGAGCGGCGCGCGGCGTGACGGGGCAGTAACCCGCCGCGCGCCTCGGGGCGCACGGCGGGAAGAGAACCGCCGCGCGCCTCGGGGCGCACGGCGGGCAGAAAACCGCCGCGCGCCTCGGGGCGCACGGCGGGATGAAAAACTGCCGCACGCCACGGGGCGTGCGGCACAGAGAGTAGTGATAGCAGTAGCAGTAGGAGTTGCAGCGGAAGCAACGAGGTGGTAAGTCCACCCACAGGATCGATCCAAGGGGATCGACCTGCTCTGATAGCATGTGAAAGTTTGAAGAGAGAAGAGAACTGCACTAGCAAAAGAATGGGGATACAAATAGGAAACCCTAGAAGGGTTGTACTCGCTATAGAGCACCCCACTACAGGCTAGAGCATAAGATAACATTCTGACACACTCTGCAAGCTTATCGAAACAAAGTTTCCTGGAAG